ATTTTTATATCAGAGATGCAAATGATTTCCTTCCTATTACAAGGAATTCAATTATCCTTTGCAATTTTTAATTTTTATGTCTCCTAGTTTCATATTTTATGTCTCCCAGGTGAAACTCCATGAATTGATTGATTGCTTAGAGTTCCATAAGGATTCTTCTACTTTACAAAAGTGAATGTTTGAATGTCAATATTGTTAGAATTAAATACATATTAGATCATTTGTAAAATCAAATCTGTTCCTTCTTTATCTTCATTCCCTCATTTTATGCTCATCACCAGGCAAAAGTGTGCGCTATACCCAGACACTATATTTTCGCATGAAGGACCTTGTGTTTGTTGGCATGCGGCCATACGACGAAAAGCCATTGGAGAAGATATTAAAGGAAGAGCTTGGTGAAGATACTGTGATGGCTGATATAAAAGAACCAAAGTAGGTCTTTGTTTTATTTGAAAGTGAGGGTAAACGCTAGAGCTTTTTCTTCATTCTTCTTTCATGATTATTTGGTGTAAACTTTCAAGTTAGCAATATAACACTTGCTATCTCAGTTAATAGACAATTTATGACATAAAAAAGTCTAATAAGCCCACATAGGAAATTAAAGGAAATTTCCAAAGTTTAATAATATTTTATGTTCATTGTGAGGGAGAATTTTTGTCAAAATTGCACAAAACATCATGCTGTTGTGCATGGTTTACTTATGGTGCCATGTGTATATTTTAAAAAAATCTTTAAAAGAGAAGATATACATTTCATGTAGCAGTTTTTTTTTTATAAAAGGAATTTTTCATGACAAAGAAAACAGCTTCTTTTTTTACCACATTGAAATTTGGAAAGTTTCAATTAACCCATTGCCGCCGGGTGTCACGTACGTATATGCCATAGCTGTTGTGGACCAAACGCCGGGGGCATCATGTCATGCCCATTCACGCGCTACTGGCTCGTCGGACGGAGGTTGTTTTTCTCCGGTAGTAGCGGCTTCAATTATATGGTAAAGATTTTAGGCAATGGCACTTAAAGTGAAGGTAAACCTTCAAGATTTTAATATTTTTATAAATTTTAGCAAAATAAAAGCTTTTAGGTGCTAAATGTCGCTCGCAAACTACCAATCGAGCCGGGCGCAAACAAGGGAAACTGCCGATGCACGCCAACAAGCCCGTACATACATCAACTTGCCAAAATTTTTACCTGTCGGCAATGGGTTAATCTACTTTCATATTACGTCCCCCTTTGTATATAACATTTGACTATTATATCATGGTTGTCTTTTCCAGGATAATTGTAACTGGAGTTTTGGCAGACCGTTTCCCAGCTGATCTTCACCTATTTCGCAACTACACATCAGGGGAGCACCTGTTGCAAGCTCATGGAGGAAATGCATTTACTCCAACTCCTCCACCAGAACAGCAACTTGTGTGGCGTGCAGCTAGAGCTTCAGGAGCTGCTCCATCTTATTTCAGGTTTGTTGTCTTTGTGTTTGATTATAAAGGACTTTGTTGTACTAAACAATGCCACATATGAATTTTCACCTTTTTATGTGGCACTTTTTTGTACTTCATTTATTTCTTGAATGATGTAACACTTACTAAGTAAATCAAGAAATTTGTTTATCTTGCTAAGTGAAAATTAAAAAAAAAAAAAAAAAAAAAAAAAAAAAATATCAATTTGTAATTTTGAATATATTAGCTTCTAGGATTAGGGGGATAAAGACATTAGAAATGCTACCTCCTGGAGACTATCTTAAAAAAAATTACTTCAGTATTTTATAAGACATTAGTTTTAATAATGCTATAAGAAATTAAACTGTTATGAGTTCAAATAAGGATTACTAATACTTTTGTTCTCTTACTGCGGTCATTTAGATAGATATGTAAGTATGTTAATGCCATATAAAACGAACATTACAGGTCATATGGACGTTTTATTGATGGTGGCCTCATATCCAACAACCCTACACTAGATGTTCTAACAGAAATAGCAGAGCACAACACTTCATTGAATATAGTTGGAAGAACAAAAGAAGTAGTAAAGCCATCAGTTGTTTTATCACTTGGAACAGGCAAGCCTCCAGTAGCGAAAGTGAGTCAGACTTTCATGAATATCTTTTTTTCTGATTGGTGACTGTTAATCAGAATTTTATGTATGCATAGAAAATTTTAAAAATAATTGAAAAGAAAACAAAACAAAGATTTGAGAAAGAATGTATGACTGTAGGTAGGGTACTTCCAAAGCATTTTCTGTTAATCTTATATTGTGGTATGAATTTTGGTATTTCAATATGGTTGAATGTAGGGGGAAATGTAATGTTTTAAGGAAACTGCATAATTCATACTTAGCAACAACTAAGTTGAAATGATTGCTATGAGAAAGCTGCATAATTCAGATTTTTCATCAATCAAGTGAAAAGTGTAGTTTTGACCTAATTCTTTTAAAAGAATATCTTCATTAGTGTTGACATATTGGGATTATAAATCAGATTATCCAGGTGTTATATAATTGTTACAGTAGTTATAAAAGCTAAGCTATCATGCTGTTTTTCTTTAAGATTTTATGGAATATGAATATCCACATTGAGAAAATGAGCAGATCAAAATCTAGCTTTTGTGATCTCAGACAATCTTTGTTATTTCTGATGTGAAAAAATAAGTTATTTTTGTAAACATTGATATGGGCATGCTATCATAATCAACAATTAATTATTTTCAGGTTGATGCCATAGATTGCTTCAAGCCAGAAAGCATGTGGAGTACAGTGAGGATGGCCTTTGGCCTATCAAATGTGGCTAAGCTTCTTGTTGATCAGGTGAGTAGCACGTTTTTCTTCACCTTCTGAGTACTGATACATTTTTTTCATATGAAAATCTGAAAAATAAAATGCTTTGAATAGCTAATAATTTTTTTTCTCATACATATTGTCAGCACACTACAGTCAATACCACTGTTTGATTATATTAGATTAACTTAAGGTAAAATTATTTGAATATTTGAATATAGCTGATTCAAGAACTTTTAAGACTATGATGGAATAAAATATTGTTCAACAATGCATGACATCCTTGTTTCCTAGAATTGATTGCAGATAATTAAGCATAAATGTAAAAAGTTCCTTATTGTAACATATGTGGAACCCAAAACAGTGTAACTATCTTTTGCCATCCCCTGACCACCAACCCAATTGGCTATTCTAAATATGTCAAATAAATATTACTAGGCCCAAAACCAAAAATTGATTTCTAAACATTTTCTGGTCCTAAGGTTTTTGTATTTGAGACTGTTCAAGTATTAGCTTTTAGTGCTATATAGAGGCTAGCTGATTATATTGTTGTAAGGGATAATGATTCTTACCTATTAACCCGTTCGATCGTGGTGCCTTGGGGCTCACACATGAACCAAAATGAGCATTAGGCTTACATAAGTGGCAATTCTCGTGTGTGTGTGGCTTTTAGGCCCAGCCCACAGGAACACCCATGAAGTATCAAGACTCCTTGGCACCTTCTGCTATGTTATAATCCCTTTTTCTGCATAAGTGATTTTTGTTTTCTTGCCATTTTCAAAGTACCATGTCTAGGTATATTATAAAAAGAAAAGAAAAGAAAAAAGTTCCTTAAAATCATTTCAATTTACCCTTAATTGGATAGAGCTTGAAGAAACAAGATGATGACATCAAGATCACAAAATTTGGTTGAGAAATAAGGGAGATATGCTAATTTGAAATTTAACAAAAATGACCTTTCTTTTCTTTGTTTTAAGAATTAACTAAAACAAAAGTCTGTGATTGCAAATGGCTTGACCACAGAGAGAAATGACTGTAACTTATTTGTCCTTTGAGATATTCAAATGGAATCTGGAATACAGAGAAGATAGGGTGTAATCAGTATACTAGAAGGTCTATAATATCATTAGAGACAATAACTGATTAATTATTTGATTAAATGATAAGTTAAGTAGCAACTGAGAAGAGAAAAAGTAAAGATGAATTACTGTAACTTCCATGTTTCTTCCAGCTGTTAATTAGTCAATAGAATAATTAATTAAATTAATTGCTTAATTAGTAACCACAGACAAACTGAAAGTGAAAGTACAAGTTGAGTGAATGTCACTGTTTATTTGGGTGGCAACTTCGACCCTTGGAGCTCATATAAATATTTACCAAGATAGTGGTGTCAGTGATAGCCCTGATTTCGGAATCATACAAATTGTCTCATATCAATTCAAATCTAATGAAACCACCAGTAATTTGTGGAATGTTTATAAAAAATGTCTACATACTTTGATCTTGTGTCCATATCCTCCAGGAGGTTTTGGAAAGTCCTACATTTAAGTGAATTTTTGGACCTGCTAGAAAATCTGGAACCCATCAATAGATTGGTAAAATTCGAAAACGAAACTGTAGAGGGCATTCACACTGATGTCATATAAAAATTTCTTAGCAGTTGGTTGAATCAAATGGCTTGAATCACATTTTTAATGGGGTGATCCTTGGGACACCCCAGGAAATATCCAGCTCAGCAACATTTAGAAAATGGTGTTCGCTGAACCAGTGTACTGTAACCTTCATATCATGTCATTTGTTGAACTGTATCAGGATTGTAATAGACTGTGTTTTTTTTTAACATACTCCATATTATCTCTGTTGGTAGTCTGCACAATAACAATAGAAAACATTGTCTTATTTGGATACTTTCTAAATATTTTTGTATTATTTAAATTTCTGTAACACACCCAGTGCCACTAGTCATACTAGGCAAGAATAGGATCCTGAGCATAGTTTCCTCCATGGAGTTGGCACTCTTCCTGCCATGGCTTGTGGATGGTACATTCTACCCTTGTTTACAGGTGGAAATAATGCATAATCTCCTCCTTAAGTTCCCACCCCCAATAGTCTTGTGCAATCATGATAAGTCATTCCTATCACTCTGACCTTCAACCAAATTTTTCATGACAGCACATTCCCAGAACTCAGCCATATTTTTCCATTCTGGCATATTCCAGTCACCCGCCCCCACAGCCAAAATTTTCTCTTAACATGACAGTCATGTTGCCCAGGTTCAGTGGGTAGAGAGTTAAAATATGATCTACTACTTAACCCACTTGCACTGGGTGTCTCACATGTGAAACACCCAGAAAAAAAAAATTCCCGGGCATCCCGCTGGTGTAATGCTAGATCGGAGCTTGGGCTCTAACTTTGTCGCCCGTGGTGGGTTTCCGGACTGGCCCGAATGCTGATTTTGAAGCCGCTTGTAAACTATTATTTTCAGCTTGAAAATGTACCGGTGCTAGTGGATGAAAACATTTACAATGATAATGGATTAATGGGTGAAACAAAAGTGTTGAAATTTACTTTGTCTTTTCCAGGCAACAATGGCAGATAATCGTACAGTTGATCGTGCACGAGCATGGTGTGGAATGTGTGGGATAGCTTATTTACGGCTCTCCCCACAATTGTCTCTGGATGTGCAGCTTGATGAGACAAGGGATGAAATTCTGGTCAACTCTCTTTGGGAAACCATGGTGTACATACGTTCAAAAAAAGAACAAATACATCAGATTGCAGCTTTGCTCACTGCAGGTGTACCTTCTCCTGCTGAGTAAAAGATCTTGGTCCTTAGATATAGAACATTTGGAAAGTTTGGAGGAAGAACACTACTGGGAAATGTAACCATCGGATGATTACTGTGTGTCTATTTTTTAAAATTGTATCTTATGAATAATGAGTAAGTTCATTATAAGGATTTGATTCCAGAAGATGTAGAGATTATGAAATGGATTTCATTATGTATTTATTTCCGCATTTATTTAATAATGATTTTAATCCATTCCCTACAATGATTGAAATATTCCAAAGAGTATAGGGCTTTAAGAGGTATATAAAACTAAAAAATAAATGTAATTTAAGCTGATACTTTGGAGGACATGCTAGTTTAGAAAATATAACAAAATATTAGACTAGTCCTAAGTAGTCTCTTTTATGTGACAGATGAACAGAAGAATAATTGTTTTATAGCAAGGTCATGGATTTTTAGGGAAGATTGGATGTATAGCATTTTGTTCAGGTCTTTAAGGGATGGTAACAACCAATGTATAATTAGGAATATAAATTCTGAAATGACAACAGAAAAAGAAATAGTATTTCCTTAGTTTTAAAGTACTTCTGAAGAGAACCATATTATTTACGTTAGTAAAATATGGCTGCTCTCTAGACAAGAAGGGAGACAACCCATGGATAAATAAATAGAAAGAACGATATACTATACATAGTGGATTATAAGCCATCTAGTCATGCATCACAGGTATGCAGATTATGAGATTTACTTTTTAAGCATCAGTTTATGTAATACGGGTGTTGTCTGTCAAGACTACTCTTGGCCTAACCCTCAGTCTGATGTAACCTTCATGTAGGTACAAGCTGTTATATTTTAACCCATTGGATTTGGGTAGTGTCACCTGGCCTGTGGCTGTTTTACTCGGTGACAGCATGTTCACATCACCTGGCCCTCGATTTTCCATGACAGGACTGTAATGTCATCCAGATTGTAGGGGGTTATGGCTTTGTAGATAATGCAGAAAAAATTAACTGTGCAAGCTGTTATGAAATAATAAGTTTTAATTCAAATGGTTTGTCACATATAGTGTTATTACATTGACTTTTACATGTTTCTGCAGTGATTTATCCAGAATTTTATTTTATTTTAGTTTGAAGGATAATTGAATGTTCATATAAAGATAGAAATATTCAAGAACTCAAATTCCATGGGATCTAGTATATCCAGATTTATTATTGTTTGAATTGTAAGATTATACAGGTATACATGATTTTATGTAGCAGTTACATTTAAAAGGACATGCTTATTGCTTTGCCTATGTAATATAGTGCATAGTTTATGAGATTTTGATTTTATTTGAATACATTAACATATACAATGAATATATATTTCCATTCATATATAAAGTGTGTGTAATATATATCTCTGTGGCCATAAACTATGTGCATGATATCTTGGAGTTGATTTTGCATATCTACTGCTATCAGGTAGATTTTTTTGTGGTAGAGTTTGTAATTGAAATAAAGTTTATATCCCAGTGAGAAAATGTGTAATATCAATGGAAAACATATTATACTTGAGTGCTTTTTGTGGACTCAGTGAAAGTTTGTATAATTGTATGTTACATGTTTTTTTTAAATGGTGTTGTGGGTATATGAAATATTATTTTAAGATAGGGGCATAGTTGATGAAAAATAATTGAATATTTATTGATATATAGTGTTAAAAAAATAAAATATGAAAAAAGATAAGAACAGAAAAAATCACAATATAAGTTTATTGTTTAGATAGGACAACAGATTTCAAAATTGTTTCTATAAACATTTATTTGCTTATATTGTTTTTTCTACCATTGTATCAATACAACAGTGATTTGCTATTCCTGAAGGGCATGTTAAGCAACTTTGAGTTCTTTAGAAACCTAATGAAAGAAGTCTGAATTTCCATGAGTAAGTTATATTTTCTTGTCCTTGAAAACATGTATTTTGTCAAATGCACCCCCCCAATCCCTTGCCCGTTGTTGTTGTGGGGGGGCTTAGGAGACGGAGACTGAGACCCAATGCAGGGATCTCCCCTGCCTAGGGCCTCAGCCCTCGACTCGACTAATTTTGCATAGTCTTTTCCCCTCCAGCTTTCTGTTTCCATCCCTTCTCCAAACCCTTCTACTATCTACTTCCTAAGGTGTGAGAGCCGTGCTGAGAGGATGAAAGGCTGACCTTGTGCCAGTCCTGAACGGCCTGCGGGAACTATGGGCATGGTACTCCCGACTAATCTAGCCCTTACCATTCACTAGCGATGGAGGTGGACCAGTTGATGCCTTTTATATAATCCAGGTTCCCCATGACCAGTAATGAAAATGTAATCCCTTTATTAGAGGCAATGAGGCTAGCCCTTTTATCAAATAGCCCCAACCCAGGCTCTCCTTTGACCATGGCTCCGAACACTGAAACTACTACCCACTCCTCAATGCCTACTAGTGCATTACCCACCCAAGCAGAAAATCAATCTCCAGAAGACATTCCTACCCACCCAACTTCCTCAAATTCATCAACTCTACCCCCGCAACTTTCATCAAGCAACCAATCCTCCCTTATTACTACCTTGCAGCCTTATTCTCCATCATTCCGTAATACTCCGTCTTCTACACGTCCCCGACCATCCACCACCACCAACCCTACAGATATCTTAAATACTCTGTTTAGCCCAGCTAAATGGGACCGATTTTTCGTGATCCCTTCTACAGCTCCTTACTCAGGCAACACTCTTCTCTTTCAACAATGCCTCCAAAAACAAGTAGTAGAGTCCCTTTCTATACCAGACACGATCGCTCCCGTCTTGTAACAGTCAGATCAGAAACTGAATCTATAGCACTATCAAATTTAACTGATCATTCTGGCAACCCCATTCCTGCAGAACCTCATCCAACTCTTAATACCTGTACCGGAACTGTCTCTCTCTCCCCAGCAAACTGCCCAGTCGATACCAAAGATTGGTCAGACTGTGGAGAAGACTTATTAGGATGCCTCAAAGTCCAAGATGTGAAATCAGTACATTGCTACACCATTCCTCCTAAAGGTCAACGAAAGAATCCGACCAACATTGCCAAAATTACCTTCCGTACACATGACTTTCCCTTACGTATCTACATCGGTGGACAATCCCTCCCTGTTCGACCATACCAACCCCCTCCCCGTCAATGTCAAAACTGTTGGCACTTTGGATATCCTGCCAAACATTGCCGTTCCACAGACCAATGCCCCATATGTGCCCAACCTGGTCATAATCGATCAAACTGCTCAGCACAAACACGAACATGTGCTAACTGCGGCGGCCCCCATAATGTATTTTATAGAGGCTGTCCCACTTACAAGTTTGAATCTGAAGTAGCAACTCTCAGATACAAAAATGGTCTCACTTTATGTGAAACCAGACAGGAAGCACGTCGACAAGGTTTCTCTCATACTCCATACTCTAGTAACATCATTCGCTCAGCCCCTCCCCCTCCACCCCAAAATGTCCCCATTTCCACTTCTACATTCTACATCCCTCAGACCAATTCCTTTGCCACTCTAAACCCAGACACCCCAATTTCAACCATAGCTCCTATCTCAACTACAGCCCCAACACCAACCCCTCTCCCTCCCCGCACTACACACAGCAGACAGACTAAACTCTAACCCTTCTTCCCCTACAGCACAATCACCTCCACCTACCTTTACCTTTATTCCTGAGGCACCAGTCTCCTCTTCCCCCCCTCATAAGAAAACCTTTATCCCACAAAACTCTCCAACCAACTCCATTGCAGAAACAATTACCTTCTCACAAAACTCTCCAACCAACTCCACTGCAGAAACAATGGATAACATTTAAAGCTACATGCTTGAGACACAAGATCCCATAACTCATGCTCTTTCCACACTTGAAGTGGTTGCCGATATTCATACCCCTCCTTCTAATATTCCCCCTACACCCCTTCCTCCTACTCCCTCTCAACACAACCTAACCTGCTCAATTCCGTCCACCTCCGATATCCATCCTCCCAATACCCATCCTCCTGATATCCATCCCCCTCTTACTCACAGCACCCCTACACCCCTTCCTCCTAATCCCTCCCAAGACAACATCCCTTCAACTCCAACTATCCATCCTTCCGATATCCACCCTCCTACCAATAATACTCCCCCACATCTACTCCCTCCCAACACAACCCACCCCCTTCAACCTTCCATCCCTCTATCTTTTGCACTCCCTCCCGGATACACACGAGAATCACTCATGTCATAACAATGCCCTTCCCCAAATTCCTTACCTCTTAATGCCCCTCCTTCACACCCCCTAGCTCCTTCTCCCCAAGATTCCCCAATACGTACCGTATGCAATATCACTCATAAGCTATAGCTCTCCTACATTGGAATATTCGCGGTTTCCGTTCTCATAGACCAGACCTACGTCATATCCTTGCTTCTTATAATCCATCTATTATCTGCCTCCAAGAGACTTTCCTCACACACCCTCCTATTCCAATTCCCAATTACCATTTTATCTCTTCCCCACACTCCCTCTATGTCTCGTCTATACTTATCCATCATAAAACACCTTATGTCATACCTCCCATACAAACTACTGTCCCGTGCACAGCTATTCGCATCTTTCTTTGCCGCTGGATCACAGTAATTTCAGTCTACTTCTCCCCATCCCATCCCATTGACTTTGTTGCCTTTGAAACTCTAATTTCCCAACTCCAACCACCTTTCCTCGTAGTTGGTGATTTCAACTGCCGCCACACTCTGTGGGGTGACTCTACCACCAATTCTCGAGGCCAATCTCTAGAACGCTTCCTCTTCACAAATAACCTAATTATTCTTAATTCAGATCGCCCCACACACTTTGACATGCGCACACAATCCTTTTCATGCCTTGACCTCTCTCTATGCTCTCCTACTCTACATTTAGATTTCCATTGGTCAGTTCTAGACCACTTCCCCTATAGTGACCACTTCCCACTTCCTTTCTCCTACTTCATATGTACCACTTCCTAATCCTCCACGCTGGTGCTTTGATAGAGCTGACTGGCATACTTTCACTTCACTCTCTACTATACCTATCCCTCCATCCCCCTTACCGTCCATTTCAGATATGCTACAATGTTTTACAACCACGATCCTAAGAGCTGCCTATACAGCCATTCCTCGAACTTCAAGACCTTATATCTCTAAATGTGTTCCATGGTGGAATTCTGATTGCACCAAAGCGCTTCGCTTAAAACGAGCAGCCTGGAACAGCTATCGCTACAAACGAGGCACCCCTCACCAGCTATCAGCCCTTATTTCCTTTAAAAGAGCATCTGCCCATCTTCGCCGTACAATTAAAAACAGCAAAACAAATAGCTGGCAAAATTATGTTTCCTCAATTACATCTACATCTATTTCAGCTGTTTGGCGACGGATCCATAAACTATCAAGCAAACATCCCCCCCATCCTGCACCCGTCCTCCATATTCGAGATATTCTCATCTCTGAGCCTGTCGAAGTAGCTAATGAACTGGGCAACTATTTCAGCCAGGTCAGTAGTGGCTCTCACCTTTCCCCACACTTTTCTTCCATTAAAGCCATCAAGGAACACACCTCTGTTACCTTCACCCTATCCTCTGATGAGTCCTGTAATGCTCCTTTTTCTTCTTCTGAACTCAACGCTCCATTACAGTCGTGCCGTAACACTCATGAAGGCCCTGATGGTATTCACTATTGTATGCTCCGACACCTCCCATCTTCCTCTCTATCCTTCCTATTAACTATTTTCAACCACATATGGACGTCAGGAAATTTTCCTTCTCATTGGCGAGATGCTCTTATCCTACTTTTCTTAAAACCCAACAAATCAGGTACCCTACCCGAAGATTACCGCCCCATAGCTCTAACTAGCTGCTTGTGCAAACTACTAGAACGAATGGTTAACTTCCGTTTAATGTGGTACCTAGAATCTCATAATCTCCTTTCCCCTTCCCAGTTTGGTTTCCGATGTGCCCGAAGTACAGCAGACCCACTTGCCCATTTCGAGACATACATTACATCGGCATTTGCACGCCATGAATCCGTATTAGCCATGTTCTTTGATCTAGAAAAAGCATATGACACCACATGGCGATACCATATCCTCCAACAATTGTCCTCCCTAGGTTTACGTGGAAACATGGGCGTTTTCATTAAATCCTTTCTTTCTAAACGTACCTTCCAGGTCAAAATTGCCTCTTCCACGTCATCATCCTTTCCTCAATTCGAAGGCGTCCCACAAGGAAGTGTGCTTAGTACCACTTTATTCTTTTTTGCTGTAAATGACATAGTCTCAGTCCTACCACCAGGAGCCAGAGCATCACTATATGTTGATGACTTAACCATCTATGCATCTGGCACATCCATACCAGATCTCTGTCAATTCCTTCAGTCTGCAATAACATCAGTAACTTCTTGGGCCACCAACCATGGCTTTTGCTTCTCTACCTCTAAATCTTTCCCCATCCTTTTCTCTCTCTCACGTACGGTCCCCAAACCCCCACTCTTCTTATATAATGCTCCACTCCAATATCGTTCTTCTGGCAAATTCCTAGGCGTTATATTTGATTCCAAATTGTCCTGGCGAGACCATATCTTGTACATCAAAGAAAAAGCTCAACGTCCCCTCCGAATCTTACAAACTCTTTCACATATCTCCTGGGGCTCAGATCGCAAAACTCTCCTCCATCTTCATGTTACTTTGATTCTCTCCACTCTAGATTATGGATGCCATATCTACTCTGCCTCAACCTCTCTTCTTGCTCACCTTGATACAATCCACCACAGCGGTCTCCACTTAGCCCTAGGCGCCTTCCGCTCCTCTCCAGTTGAGAGCCTATATACTGAATCAGGCATGCCATCCCTCTCTCGACCTCAAGCACTTCTCTCTCTTCGATGCTATGCTCGATTTCACCAATTTTCCCTTACCAAACTAACTATTCCACAATCCTTACTTCATACCTTTACCTCTTCTCCACGTTTACCTACTCCTCTCCCCGTACGCATGGATACCCTCCTCTCCCATTCCCCCTTCCCTCATCTCCGACCTCTCCCACTGTCTGTCCATTCCATTCCTCCATGGCTTATACCTAACCCCTGTATTTGCTCCTCAGTTTTCCCTGACCCACCAAAATCAGATATTCCCCCCTCTATCCTTCTCACTCATTTCCTTGACCATGTCTCCATTCATTCCTCCAGCATTCATGTTTACACTGACGGTTCCAAATCCATCTCAGGAGCTGGATTCGCAGTAACATTCCCAAATTGCACTTTCAAATACACCCTCCCTCCTGAATCTAGTGTCCTTACTACAGAACTGTATGCACTCCTTTTTGCCTTAAGACGCATATACTCATCCACCTCTTCCTCTTTTACTATTTTTACTGACTCCCGTAACTCTTTAACCCTCATAAAGTCAATGCACTCGACCAATCCCCTTGTCTGTAAGATCCAGAACTGGTTGTTCTATCTATCCACACGTCACAAATCTGTCAGATTTTGCTGGGTACCCAGCCATGTTGGAATCCCTGGCAATGTCTCTTGTCCTGTCCACGCTTTAATACAGCACGTACCTCTGCTTTTCCACACCTATCCTCCCTTCACCGACCTCCCAACATATCAGACATCCTTACAGAATCCCACAGCTTCTGCCTCGACAACCTGTTCTCCTTCCTCAGACGCATAAATATCCTTCACTTGATCTAACTCCCTTACCTAAACCACCATAACCTTTTCCCCCATCTTCGACCTTTCAACACTATTCTAGATAGTTGACACTGCAACTATCACCTGACATCCCCCTTTACTATACCTTCCTATAGTGCTATATGACCTTAGATGTCTAGCACATTTATTTTAACCATTAACCATTAACCATCCTCCCCTCGTAAGAAAACCTTTGTCTCACAAAACTCAACTCCAAACCAACTGCACTGCAGAAACTATGGAAGATATCCAAAACTATATGTTTGAGACACGAAATTCCACGACTCATGCTCCCTCCACACTGGAAGTGACTACCGATATCCATCCCCCTCCTGCTCATGTTCCCCCTACACCCCTCCCTCCTACTCCGTCTCAACACAACCTAATCCCCTCAGTTCCGCCTACTATCGATATCAATCCTCCTATTCATATTCCCCCTACACCCCTTCCTCCTACTCCCTCCCAACACAGCCCATCCCTCTCAACTCCAACTATGCGTACATTCTCCCTCTCTCCCCTCTATCATTTCCACTCCCTCTTGGATACACACGTGAAACACTTATGTAATTCCCTTACCTAAACCTACCATAGCCCATTCACACAGCAACTTCTTTATTCATATTTAATCTTTCAAGATCACTCTAGATAGTTGACGCACAGCAACTATCACTCCTTTTATATACTTTCCTATAGTGCTATATGACCTTAGATGTCTAGCACATTTATTTTTTACTTTTTAACCATTAACCATTAACCATCATATGTATTGTAGTGCTGTGATTCCATTAATAATTATCCCCTCACCATATCCTAAGCAATAATTAAATGCATATAAGGTATAGTCAAAGTATTACATAAAATAGGTTCTGCACTTAAAAAATGTAAAGATACTGTTCTCTTATGTTAAAGAAAACAAAAT